TAATGGAGAAGAAAGAAAATAGCTTATTTCCTTGTCTCTGGATTCTTTCTTAAAAATCCTTTGTGCCTTTTTAGCACTAATTGCTTCTAGGGGAAGAGATTCATTTGTTTATTATGAGTATCTAGATACCAATAAATGTCCTTACTCTGAGGATATTAATACAGAAGACAGAGTCTCTGATCTTCAGGAATTTATAATGTAGTGGAGGAAATAAAAAAAATCAGAAAAGTCGAATATGAGCTCTCTTAGTCTGTTTGAGTTACTATAACAAAATACTATGGTTTGGGTAGGTAATAAATAGAAACCTATTTCTCACAGTTCTGGAGGCTAGAAGTCTGAGTTCAGGGTCTCAGCATGGTTGGGTGAGGACTATATTCTGGGATGCAGACTTCTCATTGTATCTTCACATGGTGAAAGGGGCTAGGGAGCTCTGCAGGTCCTCTTTTATAAGGGCACTAATCTCATTCATGAAGATTCTACCTTCTTGACCTAATCACTCTCCAAAAGCCCCATCTAGTAAAACTGTCACCTGTCAGGGTTAAGATTTCGATATGATTTTTTTCCTTTCCTTCCTTCCTTCCTTCCTTCCTTCCTTCCTTCCTTCCTTCCTTCCTTCCTTCCTTCCTTCCTTCCTTCCCTTTGAGTCATGAACTGGAGTAACTGGAGTAAAGTCAGGTTGGTCTTTTTAAAGATGGCACACAGACTGGGACTATCATCCTATCACTGACAGCCAGTCCAGGCAGAGGCCTCATTGCTGTCATTGCTAAATGCTCGGGCAGGCTAGTAAATACTGGGCTGAGAAGGTTTTTCCTTCCTTTCTTCCTTCCTTCCTTCCTTCCTTCCTTCCTTCCTTCCTTCCTTCCTTCCTTCCTTCCTTTTCTTCTTTCTTTCTTTCTTTCTTTCTTTCTTTCTTTCTTTCTTTCTTTCTTTCTTTCTTTCTTTCTTTCTTTCTTTCTGTGGGGTAGGGGGAACATAGGCATTCAGACTATAGCATGAACAGATGTTCTAAAAAGCACAGGGACTGGATCGATTTATTAGCGAGACCCTGGCAGGATTGCTTCCTATTGGTTTTGAGGTTATACACTGCATGCTCCAGGGGATGCCACTTATAAAGACAATGATCTGTATGACTGTATGCAGTGGTCTGAATCCTGGATCTGCTACTTATTAGCTCTATATCTTTGCTCAAGCCCATTAACCTTCATTTTCCAACTCTGTAGAATGAGGGAAATAATAGTACCTACTTTACAGGGTTGTGAAGAAGCTTAAATAAATAATTCCTCTAATGCATTTATCCCAGTGCTTGGCACATGTCGAGTACTTGATAAATGTCATAATCACTAATAAAATGTAATAGAGCTTTATTGGAAACACACAAAAGCGAGCTATGGAAGCACAAGAAGGGCTATGGATTAATTTCCAATGGCTGATGTGATAAATTACCACAAACTCCGTGGCTTAAGGCAACACACATTTATTCTCTTACAGTTACGGAGGCCAGAAGTTTGAAATCAGTTTCGCTGGACAGAAACCAAGGAGTCGGCGGAGCTATGCTTCCTCCACAGGCTTTAGGGGAGAATTCATTCCTCGCCTCTTCCAGTTTCTGGTGACAGCCGGCACTTCTTGGCTTGCGCATCACTTTAATCTCTGCCCCTGTCGTCACACTGCCTTCCTCTCTTCTGTGTGGAGTCAGATCCCCCTCTGCCTCCCTCTGGAAGGACACATGATTGCATTTGGGGCCTATGCAAAAAATCCAGGATAATCTCCCCATCTCAAGATCTTTAATTACACCTGCAAAGCCCTTGAGCCATTTAGGCTAACATTCACAGGCTCCAGGAATTACGATCTGTATATCTTAGGGAGCCATTATTGTATTAGTTAGGATTCTCTAGAGAAACAGAACCAACAGAGGATACATATATGAGGCTTGAGAGGTTATGGAGGATGAGAAATCCCACTGTCTGCTGTCTGCAAGCTGGAGAACCAGGAAAAGGGCGAGGGCTGCTTGGCTAGTGTTGCAGAGGTTGCAGACGTAGCTGGCCACCTGACTGTGGCCTACAGACATGCTCTACTTAGTCCTACAATGTTCAGAAAAATCAGTTAAAAACTATAAAAAGTGGGGAAATTGATATGAAAAGTCTAATTGATATGGGACATGTCCCTCTGTCTTATTAAGGCTGAAACATGAGCCTCCAGTTCTAGAGAGATCCCCACCACCCACTCTTCCTTTGTCTGAGGCCTAGTCCTCCTAGCTATTGAGCTGGCACTGTGGTTTTCCATGGATGAAAGAAAACAAAAAGTGGGAGGATCCAAGCCTGCGGTGAGCCACGTTTCTCACTCCAGGTCTGCTTCTCTCATCGCCTTTCCTACCATTCCCTTGTCTAGGCTTCTGAGTCTGAGGCGCTCGACTTGTATTTCCAGGACTCTGTCTTTCCCTCTTTACAACTTTCCCCTTTCTACTCAAAAACGAAGAACAAGGTTAGAACACTTAAAAGAAAAAACAAAAAAGACCCCAAACAACACTGTTTACAATAGCTGAGGCCCCAGGATCCCGACCTTTTTCTGGGGAAGGTGTCATCTTTGGGTAGTTTCTGGAGAAAAACACCCAGCAGCAGTGATGAGAGCGAGCCTCTCCAGACGGAGTGGCTGCGGGAGGAGTGGGTGATCACGTTCATACACTTATTTAAAAAAAAAAACAAACGAAACCAGTATTTACTGTCTCAACATTCTAGCATATTTCCTCCTTATCTTTCCTTTATAGATAGGAAATGGGACCATTTTGAAATTCTCTATTATATTTTTTACTTGGCAATATTTTGTGAGCATTTTCATGTTTTGTCGACTATTATCTCATGTTATCATTTCTGTTTTAGATTTTCTTTTATTGAGGTAAAATCCACTTAACATAAAATTTACAATTTTAAAGGGAACATTTAAATATGTTCACAATGTTGTACAAGTACTACCTTTATCTAGTTGATTATCTGAAAAGAAAACTTCTTACCCATTGAGCAGTGGCTCCCCATTTCCTCCTTTCCTCAACCCCTGGCAACCACCAATCTGTGTTCTACATCTATCGATTTACCTGTTCTGGATAGTTCATGCAAATGGAATCGTAAAATATGGATCTTTCGTGCCTGGCTTCTTTCACTTAGCATAATGTCTTTGAGGTTTACTTACATTGTAGCATGTTATCAGTACTCCATTCTTTCCTATAGCTGAGAAATAGTCCATTATATAATACATAATGTGGAAATATACATAATATATTAATATATAATAAAATACATGCGTGTATACCATTAAGTGAATGGAATATATACCATTCCACACATATATTCCCCACGATTTATTTATCCATTTATCTGTTGATGGACGTTTGGGTTATTTCCACCTTCTGGCTGTTGTGAATAGTGCTACTATGGACATCTGTGTACCTTTATTTGTTTGAGTCTGAGAAACTGTTTTCATTTATCTTGGGTATCTACCTAGGAGGGGAATTGCTCAAGCATATGGTAATTCTAGGGTTAACGTTTTAAGGAATTGCTAAATGGTTTTCTACAGCAGCTGCACCATTTTACATTTCCTTTACCAATGTATGTAGGTTCCACTTCCTCCATATTCTCACCAACACTTATTATTTATTAATAAATAAGATAAAAGTTATCTTAGTGGATGTGAAGTAGTACTTCATTGTGGTTTTGATTTACATTTTCCTCATGAATGTCAACATTTCTAATGGTTGCTGAGTGTTCCTTTTATAGATATTGCATAATTTACCTAGTCAGTTCTCCATTGAAAACAATGAGTCCCCCCATCTTTTTGCCCCTGTGAACATATACACTGCAGTGACACCTCGTGTTCTCAGTTGAGGGCATAGACTGTGCAGTCAGACAGGTGATGTCAGGGTATATCATTTCCATTTACCGTGTGGTCTTAGACAATTTCCTTAAGCTCTAAATCTCAGTTTCTTCATTGATAAAATGGGACCATATAACAGACATGCTTCACGAGGTGTTTCCAAGGATTAAATATGCTTACGTGTAAAACCCTTATGGGCTTGAATGTGGTAAGCACTCAACAGATGCTGCATGGTTTTGCACATCTTCGCTCCTGTCTTTGAATTCTCCCTTATATTCTTAGAGGTGACATTGCTGGGTCAGTAGAGGTTATGCACATATTTGAAGGCGTATGACACACATTGCCAAATTGTCCTTTCCAGATACTAATTTACGCTCCACCAGCAGTATAAACCAGTGTTTGTTTTCAGAACCTTCAACACTGGAGATTGTCCTTTCAAAAAATCATTGCTAACATCTCATCATTATTTTAAATTTGCATTTCTTTGATTACCAGTACGATTGATTAATTTGGGGGCATTTATAAACCTCTTTTGTGAATTGCCTTTTTTTATGTACTATACCCATTTTTCTCTTGGGTTGCTAAACTTGTCTAAATTTCTCTAAGAGCTCTCTATATTAACCAACACGCCTGCCATTTTGTTAAAAAAAATTTGTTTCCAGTTTGTCCCTTGCATTTTAATTTCACATAGCTCACCATTACAGGATCTGTAAATAACTCTTGGTGTTTCTCAGAGGGGATAGACAGATGTTGAGAAAGTTAGGCCTCAGTTTCATACAACTGTGAAATGAAAGGTTTGGACTAGAAAATTGCTGTTTATTTCTAGATTTGAAATTTTATGATTTTCTATAATCATTTTGACTGTTCAATACATGATATAATTTCAACTTCGTATTTTATATTGATATGCAATAGTAATAACTATAAACATAATTACTCCCTAAGTTCTAAGTGTGTATGTGTGCGTCTATATATAGTAACATTCCCCCAGGTCACAAAAATTAAAAATCTCATACATACATTTTATTTGTATTATAATAGATGAGTCACTTACAAGTCTCTTAAATTTTTTTCTTTACTTCTGCATCATTGAGGTCTTTATACATGACAGTTTGCTTTTTTTTTTTGTGGTTAAATAGGTATTTGATGCAGTTAATACTACATATTCTAACTTTAAGAGCAACTTTATGAAGAGACTGTCGGCTGAAGTTCCTGTTGCCAGTAGCCCAATTACCACAAGATGGCGGCAAAGCCAAACCGGGGATTTGGCATTCCATTCCTTTGGTGAAGAGCATTCAACCACTGACCTAGAGGCTTCTAGGTCCGTGCTGAAGATAACTCCAGACAAAGAGACCTTGATTCTAGGTGAGGTAATAGAAATGCCATTGGCCAGTTTCGAAATGTTAAAAATAATATATTCCTGACAGAATCTTTGCCTTTTAGAAACATCAAGTGTCACATTTAGTCAATTGCTTTTCTGTTTATCTTCCTTTCAATTAGAAACTTCCAAGGTGTGTGTGTGTGTGGGGGGGGGGGGGAATGAAACAAAAACAAAAGAAAATACATTGTATTTTAAATATGTTTCTAAGATTTGCATTAGTAGGTGACTACTTTTCTAAAGATTGTAATTATGTGTGAATATGTATATATATGGATAAGTGGTCATGTTTTGCAAAGCATAGAGTTTTAATGACTGTTTAGATTTCTGGTCTGTGGCAGTCAGGAAAAAGACATATTAGTAATGCAATAATCAGGTATGACATAGGAGAAGAAAAAGATGATGAAGAGGATGAGAGGGAGAGAAAATAAAAGGAAGGAAGAGGAGAGGTGGGATGAGAGGAAAGAGAGAGAGAGAAGAAAATAGAAGATGAGAATGAGGCAGTCTGGTGTACAGGGAACTAGGGTTAACCTGTAGAACCTTGAAACACAAGCTCTCTTTCTAAACTAATAAGTCTAATTTAGACCCATCCTTCGGAAGCAAAACTTGCCACCTGTCATATAGTGATTTAATTTCTCTTCTTCCCTTTAAAAATCCTAGACAACATAATTCATTGTCTTATCAACATGTTTAAGACAAATCTCTGCATATTGAAAGGGAGCCCAAATCACTTTTAAACCAATGAAATTTCCAAGTAATGGTGAGTATCAATACTGAAAGGAGTTGGTTGAAGCAATAGGAGAAACACAGTTGTAAGAAAGATTATTGTTATGGTTGTCTTCTGAAAGAAATCTTCTGTATCCCATTATACTTGAGGAGTGGTTTTTATGCTGATTGTTTTAAAGAAATTTCTGGCTAAAATTAGGGGCCCCTTTTTCCTTTCTAGGCCCTGAATTCATTTATTATTATTTTTTAAATAAGGCAATGCATGAGAAATTCAGAATTCTAAGAGGCAAATTATCAATCAAAAGAATTTTATAAGGAAGTCTATTTTATTTTCTACTTAAGCTGATATACTGCATATTAATCAGATCCATTGGTTTCTCAGTGCTTTGCTGGTAGAATTTCTTTCTTTTTGTTTCCAAAGTGTGAACATTGAAGATCTCTGCATCATAAAACTGACATTTGCAGAGAGTTTCATTTGCAGTCATGCTCTGTGGACAAAACCCAAGAGGTTCTAGCTTCCTTAGCCTGGTGGACCTGACCTCTCTTTTGATAATTGGGACGATTATCAGTTTTAGTATCTTTTTGCAAGTTTTTCTTTCTTATTTGAACTTCTGAGAGTTGCCTTCTCCTCTATACTCATCTACAAATAGCAAGTCAAAACAAGCATGCATAATTTCTAAGGACAAAGACCAAGATCTAAAACTTTGCAGAACATTTCATGTTTTCATCCCCCTTTCCCTGTGATGTAACCTATATTTTTTAGATTTTGGGTTTCCCAGGACTCAGAAGCTAGGTTCTAGGAATATTAGTGACAGTTTATCAAGCCCATGTTTGTGCAAATGAAGAAGGAACTGCCATGTGGCAAAAGGCCAAGATTTTCTAATGGTCCCTTTGCCCCTTAGATGAAAAATGATATGGCAGATGATTAGTTTTAGAGGATGACTCACCATGGTTTTCAGTGCAGTTAAAAGTCTGGTATAGAGCTTTCTCTATCCTGAAAGACAATAGATATGAATAATAATGTTACAAATAACATTCACTCTTCTATTTAACTGATGTCATTTCTGCAATAGGAAGAGGGAGAGGCAAAGTGATTTGCTCATGATCCTGTAGTGAATGTCAATGATTGGCAAAGCAAGATCCCATAGTGATTTCCTGGCAGAATGATCATAGCCTGGACAAACCAGATTCCCTTTGCTTCATCATTTAAAACTATCGATCTGTTTGCATCCATCCTTCAAATGTGCAAATATGTTCTTTCCATGCGCAGCTCCGCATTTGGGTTGCGGCTGCAGTTGGGGTCAAGTCCTTACTCTTGGCATATCCTCTTGGCCCTAGAGGCCACTGAGGCAGTGTTCACTTGTGAACCAGCACTTTGGGTAAGGTCCTGTGCCATCCCTCCTCCATTCCCCCTCCCCCACCCCAGGATTTTGGAGAGACCAGGGCCTGTGTCTTCAGATTCTCTTCTACTGTGAAAGATGTCATGGGCTGACCTCTAACCAAAATGATAATCTTGTTGTAAAAACCACATTTAACACTGTTTTTCTTGTAGGGTCCTACGATGAATCACTGATGACTCCCATCAAAGGAAGTTTTGAAACAAATAACTCTACTCTTCATTTCTGCAAGACACCGCATGCACTGGACGGAAGCTGGAAGGAAAATATTGCCTTAAAAGGCCAGGTCGGTAAGGAGAAAAAATGAAGATCTCACATTTTGACAAGCTCAGACAACTGAGTCCCATATGTGAGGAAAGAGGTGGCTTAGGCGCTCTTACTAATCAATAAGAAAATGATGGGTTCCTGATAGAAAAAATGAGCTTGTGAAGCATGTGAATAGAGGCACTTTATAAATAAATAAAACAATTAACAAATATATGAGAAAGTATTTAATTGGTATCAATAAAAAAGTGAAAATGAGAATAACCTTTTAAAAGGTAAAGGTTAAAAATGGAATAAAATTATACATACTATGGTATGCTTCCTCTCAGCCAAAAAGATCTCTTGTGCAATCATTTCCAGCTAGTTGGTGACTTGGTTGGCCCTTTGGGGTTTCTAGGGAGAAGTTTCATTCTTCTTCTATAAGGTGGTCTTTTAAATATTTCCCTTAAGTCTTTGTTATTGTTGTTGTTTCGTTTCTTGACTAAGTTAATTTAGATTTTTTAAGTATCTTATTTATTAGAGTTTTAAAATCTTCCTTGGGGCACATTGTCAGGAGCAGGTTTTTAAGTTTCTCAAATGCAATGAAGAGCCTCTGAAGGAATCAATGTTTCATTTAGAAAGCTTTGTACAGGGAAACTCAGAAATTCTCGATTTAGGCAAAATTACTCATTTAGGTGTGCCTCTGTGCTTGGCGTATGTATCTTGCTAGAGGAACAATAAAATATTATGAGTGTAAAATTTAATTATTTGAACTCATATGCAATTGAAAATAAATGTATTAGAGCAGGTCTTTTGCTGAATGCTTTATTGTTGAGTAAGGGTTTGGGGGTGCAAATGGCCAGGGAGTTCTACTGAGGTCGTTAGGGGCGCTGTTGGCCTCACACCCAAGCCAGGTTATTAGCATCACTGTCCTTTCCACTGCTGATTGGAGTTTTTATTTCCTTAACCTTTAGGACTTTCCTTTTCCTTCCCCTGATGCCATCTGGTAACTGGTGGCAGCAAAGTTGGTGGCTCTGTCTGTGGGGTCACGGTGGCGTCAGCAAGTTACCGTTGGTAGAGGAATTGCTACTCAGCCAGAGCATCATCCCAGCATCATTAAAGAATCTGGGCAGGGGGTTGCGAAAATGACTTTAGCACTTTATGTGGAACATTAGCTGTCATGACCAGTTAGAAGTCATTGGAAGGCGTTTCCGCAATAAGAGCCTGCAGAGATGTGGAGAGGGTCAGAATTCTCATATCCAGTCAGCTCTAGACCAAGTTACTTACTAAAGTAATAAGTAGATCTCACCTAGGGAAGAGCACCCCTGGGTACATCAAGCAAAGCACTGTGCCGAGTAACACCTTGGTCAGCTTGGGGGTAACTATGGGATTCTGACGAAGTACATCTGTGAAGAGTTACATTGAGCTACCCTCCAGCAGGCCATTTTAGGAATGTTATTTTATACCAGTGGTTCTCAGCAGGAGTGATTTTGCTCCCCAGGGGACATTTGACAATCTCTGAAAACAATTTTGATTATCATAACCCAGAGGGAGAGCATCTAGTAGACAGAGGCTAGGGATGCTGCTGAACATGCTGTAATGCACAAAACAGCCCCACAATAATTAATTACCTGGTGCTAAATGCCAGTAGTGCTGAGATTGGAAAACCCTGCTTTATTCTTAATTTTACTTTGAATACCTAAAAGCCCATGATTCATTGACTGCAATGCCTGTATGTGACATGATATCCGGGAAGAAAACCAAACTATGCAAATGATGCCTGTCAGAGACTTGTCTGAATTAGGGTGATCCAGTGATTATTATACATGTAAAATTCAATATGTTGTTGTGAAGGAGAAAAAAAGAATTTTCACTTCTTTAACTATTCACTATTATGTTTTTAGAGAATTCTGATAAGTACTTTCCTTTACCCTTATTACTAGTTTTCCTATTTATTTTTGATTAAAGTTGGATGTAAGAATGTCAGAAGTGCTCTTTATATACTGCCCTGAAGAGAGAGCAATCAGATTTTTGTACTCATGGAAATTCAGGCAAGTTACTTAAGATCTCCATGACTTGATATTCCCATTTCTAATGGGAAAAGGTGTTAATGGAAAAAGACCTTTAAGATGATTAGTTCAATCCCAACATTATTGTAGATAAGGAAACTTGAGGCCCAGAGAAAATCTCACTAACAGAAGGAGAACATCTCTGGGCATATCATGAAAAAATCTTTCTTGTGAAAAGTAGACTTACTAATGCTCAACCTTATTGTTTTGGGGAGGTCTTTTAATTTCATAAAGTACTAGAAATATTATGGCTTTCAGTTCTTCCAGGCTTTGATGATATCCCTGGCCTATGGTTGCTTTGTGGGCTACAAGGATTTTTAGGCTAGAAGAATAAAAGAGAATTTTTATTCTTTTTAGTAATATCTGCCCTATGGAGTTGTTGGGGGAGATTAGAAATAATATTTGTAAAATGCTCAACAGTGTGTTCGTTACACAGTGGTTAGTTAACAACAGTAATTATTGTGTTTTGGTTTTGATAATGTAGAATCTTTGAACTTCCTAGTGAATTATCAGTTTTAACTCTGTCATGAATTGCCTCTGAGATGTACATATATATTTCTAAAGAAGTATTCTCTTTATGTGTTTGTTTTCAGAAATACCTAAATCAACTATTTTCGACCCAGAAGGTGGCTCAGCAGGTTAATGGGAAAATGCAGCTCTGTGAGCAATCCCAGTGTGTTTGGGAAGGTATGGGCCAAAGATTCTCTGTCTTTCTTTCCTACCCTCTTCTTTCCCTGCCTCCTCCATTTTTTCCTTATTTTAAAATTTTTATTTTTATATTTATCAGACTAAACAACACAATTGTAAAATTTAGGTAATTTCTGTAATCCTCTGCCTTAACCATCACCACCTCCTAGTCCCATTTCCTAGAGGCACCCCTCCCCCGCCCTTAGCTTGTCCAGCTATTGTCTCCGAGTTTTGGAAATCATGAATAAAGCCACTATAAACATCCCTGTACAGGCTTTTGTGTGGACAAAATTTTCAACTCATTAGGGTAAATATCAAGAAGTGTGATTGCAGGATTGTATAATAAAAGCATATTTAATTTTGTATGAAACCACCAAACCATCTTCTAAAGTGGCCATACCATTTTGCATTTCCACCAGAATAAGAATTTCCATTTCAACCAGAATAAGAATTCTGGTTGTTCCACATCTTTGCCAGCAATTGGTGTTGTCAGTGTTTTTGATTTTGGCCATTCTGATAGATGTGTGGTGATGTCTCATTGCTTATTTGCCATCTGTATATCTTCTCTGGTGAAGCGTCTAACTCTTTTGTCAATTTTTTAAACAGGTTGTTTGTTTTCTTATTGTTCAGTTTTAAGAGTTTCTTTGTATATTTTAGATAACGGTCCTTTACACATGCCTTCTGTAAATATTTTTTTCTCAGTCTGTGGCTTATCTTCTCATTCTTTTGACGTCTTTGCAAAGAAGAGGTTCCTAATTTTAATAAAGTCTAGCATATCAATGATTTCTTTCATAAATTGTGCCTTTAGTGTTATATCTAAAAAGTTATTGTCAAATCCAAGGTCATCTAGATTTTCTCCTATGTTATTTTCTAGGAGTTTTATAGTTTTGTGTATTACTTTTAGATCATTCATCCATTTTGAGATAATTTTTGAGAAGAATGTAGAGTCTGTGCCTAGATTTGTTTTTTTTGTTGTTGTTTATTTATTTGTTTATTTTGTTTTGTTTTTGCATGTGGATGTCCAGTTGTTCTAGCACCATTTGTTGAAAAGACTAACTTGTCCTATAGCATTGCCTTTGCCCCTTTGTCCAAGATCAGTATGTGTCTATTTCCGGGCTCTTTATTCTATTCCATTGATCTACTTGTCTATTCTTTTGCCAATATCGCACTGTCCTGATTACTATAGTTTTTAGTAAGTTTTAAAATCAGATAGTGTTGGTCTTTCAACTTGGTTTTTCTTTTTCAGTATTGTGTTAACTATTCTGGGACTTTTCTTCCTCTATATAAACTTTAGAATCAATTTGTTGCTATCCATAAAATTTCTTACTGGGATTGTATTGCATCTGTAAATCAAGTTGGGAAGAATTGATAGCTTAATAATATTAAATCTTATCCATGCACATGAAATATCTCTCAATTTATTTAGATTTTCTTCAATTTTTTTTGATTAGAGTTTTGTAGTTTTCCTCATATAGATATTGTACATGCTTTATTAGTTTTATACCTAAGTATTTAATATTGGGAGGATATTAATGAGAACTATTAAGAGCCACACTCTTACAACTTTTAAATATATAATACAGTATTATTAATTATAGTTGCCATGCTGCATATTACATTCCTATGACTTTTTATTTTATAACTGTAAGTTCGTATTTGATTAAAAAAAAACTTTATTGGCAGTGCTTGATGCTTCCAGTAGCCTTGCAGTTCTGCCCACAAGTGGATTTTCATAGCTAACACTGAGGCTGTGAACAACAATCTGGTTTCTTGATATAGTATTGTGAAGCCTCATGCTTTTATCAGAAGCCATGTGGTCTTAGAGGCCTCAAGTCACCTAGGTGGGTTCAGTTCCTGTTAATCATGTCATTCTCAGTTTGATCACTTCTTCAAGTGGTTGAAGAAAAGATAGTGGTCTGTGGTTTAAACTTATGGGGTCTTTTGATGAGAATTAAAACTGAGCACAAGATATAATGCAGACCTCAGATAGTCATGGGTAAAACTAGCTAAAAGTAACTCTGTGTGGTCTGGTACAGAAACAGTAAGAAAAAAAGCCAAAGTCAATGAATCAACAGATATTTATTAACAAAGACTCAGAGTAGGGCTTAGGTCTATCAGATAATTGTTGATGTGAAATACATATAGAAATGCAAAATTCTCTTTGGTTTTAACATCTCGAGTGACAGAAATATTCAAAGTAAGATGTAATGTCCTCTGTGTGCTGCACCCCACAAGATCTGTCATTACATTTAGGTCTAGTATATATGTGCTTTTTATTAGACAATGCCATTGAATATTTAAAAAAATGTTTAAGTTAATACTGAAGTCTTCTTTGTTTCTTTTTCCCTGAAACTTGTAATTCAGTTTTATCATGATGACCATTTTCTTTTTCACTTCATCATTTCTTATTACCCTCAAGGATAAATATTGTTTCCAGGATCATAGAGATATATAGAGCTGTTTGTTTATTGTAGGCTGCAGAGATGGAGTCAGAGATGAATCATTCTATTTTAAAAGTTTCAGTGATATAAACTATTCCATACTCCGACCAGAGGTGAAGATTCATCTTACTGGTCTTCGAAATGACTACTGTAAGTTATTGTTTATATCATGAATTGAAAAGTCGAAATGACAAAATGTATCCTGTGCTCTGGCATAAACTTGAAATTTGGTTCTGGAAGAACCAGATAGGCCTTTGCCTCATATCCCAATGGCGTCCAATCTAAATATGATTAATATAGTTGGCTTTTTCTTGTACAGTTTTTGTGTTCAAGAATGGCTATTGTTGGTGTTGGTGGGGAACCAGAAATGTACATTTTGTTTTACTGTATTAGAATGAACTGTACAAATGATGGCCTATTCTTATGCATGTATTTTAAACATGGATAAATCTAATCTGTCAAACAACCATGTTAGGTCTTCTTGCTATGTGTCTAGTTTATAATCTAGTTGGGAAGACAGGACTAATCCACAGGAAACGGCTACCAACATGCCAACGTAGAGTATTAATAATTAATTGTGAGGTATGAGTAGTTATAAGGATTATAAATAGTTCAGTGATCTTTGGAGTTGTCCAGAAAGACTTTTTTCATTTTTGAACTTCTAATGATATGCTTGGATCCATTGTTCTGTTTTCCAACTGACCATGGGGAAAGGTATAAATCTTTCTCCTCTACCTATAAATAATGTTTATTTGCAAATATTTTTATTTGGCTACATAATCACTCTAATTTGAAATGCATTTTTTATAGATCTGAATATCCTAGACTGGAATTTTCAAAATCTTGTTGCCATAGCCCTTGGGTCCTCTGCATACATCTGGAATGGGGAAACTCACAATGGGATTGAAAATGTAGACTTATGTCTCACTTGTAACTATGTATCTTCTGTGTCCTGGATAAAAGAGGGAAACTGCCTGGCAGTTGGCACCAGCGAGGGAGAAGTGCAAGTACTGGACAGTTTTCCTCTCTCATAATATGCTCTGTGTAATTGCTAGATAACTGAAATTGACTTTTAATAAACAACAGGTTAATATAAAATAGAGAAACTATATTAGTTGTGGTACTTGAAGCTGTGGGGAATATGAGGGTATACCATTCTAATAGTTTTCTGAATGACATTTAATGAGGACTTAGGGATACTCTGCTCAATTTTTCCACACAATTTTTCTTTCAATAATCCACCCACTCCTTAAGTCCTTTCTCTCAGACTAAAGTTGGGCCTGTAGAATCCCCATTTTTAGGACTTTGGTGAGAAGAAGATAACCTCTGTGTTCTCCTTTCTTACCTCAAGCCATGATCAAGAGTAGAGTTACCTCGAATGAGTGAATTTTTTTCTGATAGGCTCTCTAAGTTGGAGATTTACCAAGTTTTTTTTTTTTTTTAAATCGATCTATCTAATTTCTCATGCATCATCATTATTATTATTTATTAGCAATAGTGGGAACAGTATACTTGTTCGATGACTTTGGGAGGGCACAGATGGCTCTCACTAGTTACTCATCTCTGCAATGATATTGGGTGCTATGAAGGGTATGTTATGATTTTTTTCTTATGCCAAAATTCCCATTCGTCATGTGGGTCAGAATATCATTTTTAGCTAGCAGGAAAGGAGTCTGTTAGCAATCAATGGAATTCCCAGCTCTAGGAAGTGTTTGGTAACTGTAGGTGCATTTCCAGGTTTGGAATTCCCACAAATTAGAAGGAACTAGAAATGTGATGGTGAGTCACAACCCTTGGCTGCTCATTGAATTCACCTGGGTAACTTTAAAATAAATGCCATATGCCCAGGCTCTACACCCACCATTAAATCAGAATCACTAGCATCCGTAGTGTGCTCCTCAGGTGATCCTCAGATGGAGACAACACTGAGAACTGCTGAGTAGGATTAAGGTGTTTAGCTTTTACTTAGTATAAGGACTGGCTATATCAACATTAATTGACTATCAGGCCTCTGAGAAGACAGGACTGTGAAAATGTCAGTGCTATATAACTCTGCTTCTCCATTTTTTCAGTTATGGGATGTGGTAACTAAAAAGCGTCTGAGAAATATGCTTGGCCATTTGTCAGTAGTTGGGGCCCTGAGCTGGAATCACAGTATACTCAGCAGGTAAGGAGCATCTTATTGTAATCAATTATATTTGCACCACCAATTGATTATGGAAGCTGAGTGAGCAGAACTATCAAATTTAAAACCAAAACCAAAATGAAACAAAAAACAACACTGGTTAGTATTAGATATGCTCCTACCTTCTCAGGTATTAAGATCTTCTGATATAAGTGGTCCAGTGGTCATGCTTACTATGCTGGCTATGAGCCTACAGCACGTGCTAGTGCTGGGATGTGAGGCTCAGGATTCACTATACTGGTCAGATAAAATGTAAAACTGTTTAAGCAAAAAGTTTCTTTCTACCAAGGAGTACCACCTAGAGGAATGTTTTGTTGAAGTTAAGTCTTTAGTGTTATTAGTGTCAATAATTTGGAATATATTGCTTTCTGGGGCATATTTTCAAATCACAGACTCTCAGAGATTTGAGCTGGAAGGAACCTTGTAGATCAACCAGTTTAGTGGTCCTCAGACTTGAGCAGGCATCAGAATCACCTTGAGGGCTCCTTAAAACGCAGATTGCTGCCCTCATTCCAGGAATTTCTGATTCATTTGTTCTGAAGTTAAGCTGATCACTTGCATTTCTAGTTTCCCAAATGATGCTGATGCCTCATCATTTTTGAGAACTACTGTTTGAGTCTGTTTCTTTTTAACCGGAAAAGTTAAATGACTTGTCCCTATGATAACTGATTTAATATATATTGCTTTTAATAATAGTTATTCATCTTCATACTGTATTTCTTAAGGTAGATTTAAATAAATCTCAAAGCCTTTTACAATTTCTTTAAGTAGCTCAGGTATAAATTTGCAGTTTTACTACTTTGTGATTAAATAAATAGACTAAACTAAAAACCATTTAAGCAAAACACCCTATTTACCCTGAGAAGTTGTTGTAGTCAGATCAGTTATATACTTAAGTTATTTTTTACAATCTGCATTGTTTAAGTTTAGTTTTATTATCCATGAAGAATACAAACAAATCTTTCTTATAATAATAGCAGCTAACATTTTTGGAGTACTCGGTGCCAGGCACAGTGCTATACTCTTTACATTCATAATTGTGTTTCAGTTTCTGCAATAACACTGTAAAGTGGTTTCTTATCCACACTCCCCGCCTTCCCCACCGCACCCATTTTTGATGAATAAGCTGAGATGCTAGCTTGAGGTCACATGGTTAGTATAAGGGGAAGAGTCAGGCTTTGAACCTAAGTGGTCTGGCTGCAGAGCCCATATTGTTCATCAGAAAGTTATTCAATGTTGTCCCTGAATAGTTTTTAAAAATATGACACTGGACTTTGAGATAATTTGGACAAAAAAAAAAAAAAATTGTAGGCAGCTTTAAGGCAAGGAGCAAAAAAATTGCTCCTTGGAGAAAAAGAAAATTAGTCCTGAAAGAGTTTATCATCTTTGATAGTGTGATACAATCTTTATCGTTCGGATTCAAGTCACTGAGAGTGAGTAGGGACATTATCCATTGATTTGTAATCATATTGCAGTTGGCTGTGGCATTTAGATAGTTTTATACTTCTTTAGTTATTAGTAGCGTTAGCACAATTAATAGTGGATCTATAAATTAATGGAAAAACAAAATAAATTTCTAGGTCTAACATTTTACTGTGATGTTTATATACTATTTTATTAAATGATATATAAATATAATACATTAATAACAATAAATATACAAAAATATATAATATACTAAAATATGTATATACTAAAACCATTTCAAAATAATATGAAATATTCTGAATTCCAGAAAAGTAATATTTCCTAGGTCCAGTATATAAACCTGGGAAAATCTAGTAATCTTATAAACCTATCTTTTCCATGGTTGCCGGCATCATCTTAAAGCCATTAGAGAAGTATATGAAAGGGTATCTTCCCAATATTCAGATTTGAAACTCTGCCAGTCAAATTTATTTCATTTGTGAAAAGAATCACCCAGTTAGAATACTCCGTTCTTATTAACCCGAGGAATGTCTACCTGGTTTTGAATCTATCCTAAGGGGTCTTTCAACAGTTTGAACAATGCTTTCCTTTATGTTTTCAAATGGTTATGTAGTGATAGGGCTCAAGTTTCCTGCCATAAACCTGCCCCTTTGCTTCTGTGCAGTGGGTCAAGACTGGGCCGTGTTTATCACTACGATGTTCGGGTAGCCCAGCATCATGTTGGAACACTTCACCATAAGCAAGCTGTGTGTGCTCTGAAGTGGTCACCGGATGGCAGGCTGCTTTCCAGTGGCTGTAGTGATGGACTGCTGACTATATGGCCTCATGATCCAGGCGTGACTGCACAAAGTCAACCAATAAAAGTCATACCCCACCCTACAGCAGTCAAGGTAAGAAATCCAATAGTTTTCTAGGTTTCCCTTAACTGAGAGACCACTGATTATTCTTCACACATGAACACAAAGCCATTGAGCCAATACTTTATTTTCTTCCCCTAAAATTTGTTTTGGATTTTGCCATCACTTTCCTGAAAGACAACTTTTTTTTTTTTTACTACATTTGTCATTATTTTGGTTGTAAGTGACTGAAACCAAAGTCAAGCTTGAATGTAAGCAAAAAATAAATATAGAGTCTCATGTAACGGACGAGTCCTGGGTACATACAGCTGTTTCAAACATTGCTGGATCTAGGGCCTTAAATAATGCCGTTAGAGTCCTGTCCCCTTGTCTCTTGGCTCTGCTTGTCTCTGTTTAGTTTCATTCTTCATTCAGACTCCATTTTGAGGGCAAGATGGCTCTTGGCAGCTTTAGATTCAGATTCTCCCAGATGGGAGCTAGAGAAGAAACCATCATTCTTTATAACTTTGGTAGAAAAGTCCCAGGACTCTGGTCTGACTTTAGTCACATGCTTATCTCTGAATTGATAACTCCGGCCAGAGATGGGCACACTGACTGACCAGGTCTGAGTTATGAGCTTGCACCCAGGAAAGGAGATCTTTTGCCAGACGAAGGAGGAGGGTTGCTATAGGGTAAACCGATACTCTACCATGCTCTGCACAATAATTTTTTATTTCTCTGTATTAAAAATTCTTATTTCTAGTAAAAAAAACAACAACAACCACGTTTTCTTTCCCCCCCTTTGGTGTCACAATGTTCTCTCACAGCCCAGATTCAGAGGAAGGGGAATGATATTCTACCTATCAATACAAGGAAGTGGGCAAAGTTTTAGAAGGGCATATAGCATGGGAGATTTAAATTTCAACTCAGGATGAAAATTAGTGTGCTCATCTGAGGTGGGTGTTGTAAGACTTATAACTGTTTGGAAAATTTCTGAAGCTTGGAATTTACCTGAAAATAATTTATTAGAAACAAAAGACATATGCCAGAATATATTTATATAGGATTCTTTACAAGAGCAAACAACAAAAACAAAACATACAAAAAACAAACAAATGAAAATCTTCTTCTTTCCGAAAAAACTCAACCCCACGCAATGCAAACCAAGCCAAATAAGATTTAAAAAAAAAAATCCACCTGAGTTAAGCATTAGAACAAAAATTAATTAGGGTATAATAACATAATGGAATATTGCGGTATTATTAAAAATAATAATTATAAACAAATATGTTAAACATGGAAAAATGTTTATATAATAAATGAACAGAACAGAAAAATAAACCAGTATATACATTATGTTTGATATTTTCTAAAATACTTTTACATATAGAAGACAATATACAAAAATAAGAATAATTACCAGGATGATTGATAAAGATATGCAGATAAATATAACTAAAATATTTGTTAAAATGTTATTTAAAATTGTTGTTACTAGTCATTTCAATTATCAATGTAAATGTGCCATACTACCATTTTTCAGAATTAACTATAATAATTTATAAATAAAGCAAGGGCAATTTTATTTTCTGAAATGTATTAGGAGTTGTAAGGCATGAGATCTTTTCTGAGCAATCATACACAACTCTCTTTTGTCTTCTATTCTCTTCTCTGACCTAGAACCTAAATTCACAGGTAGACAAACCAGAGAAAGGCTGCATTTCATAACCAGATTCTAGGGCATATGTCAATCATTTTAGCGGCAGATTTTTGACCCGTAGGATATGTTGAATGTAGTTTTCAAACATATTATTGCGTGATTTTTCTATGTTTAGAATGTTTGCAATTATTATTAAAATTTGAGGATGACACCTAATAGGTGATTTCTAGTCCCCAAGAAGTAATCTCGAGAGTGCAGTGGCTCCTGCCTTTGTATCAGAGTCCAGGGGAGCTGCAATGGGTGCAGACCTCTAACTCTTCTGCTTCCCTGCGTGCTTCACATCCATGAGTTCACCTTCTCCAAGGCTGACCAGCCTGTGTGATTATTTGGAACTTTAAAGGCCATGGATTGGTGTCCCTGGCAGTCTGCTGTCCTTGCTGTTGGAGGAGGAATGGAGGATGGACGCTTACACATCTTGGATATAAATACTGAGCAAAGCATCCAGAGCCCAAGCACAAACTCACAGGTAAATGTCTTCTTTGGAGTCTGCCTTCATGCTGGTCTTCTAGAATCCAGTGAAAATAATTTATGATAAAACACAGGACCCAGACACAGCTCACCATACATGCTGAGTCCATAGGGATTTCAGTTGTTGAGAGTTTCTTTTTGTAAAACCTTCACCTGTGAGTCAAAAGTTAATTTAACATGTGCTTTTTTTTTTTTTTTTTAAGCATTTCCCTTTTTTCTCAGCATTGCTTTGGCTGTGAAATTTGAGAACAGCCTGACTATTCTGGGACAATGATCATCTTCACATAAATTCATAGATTCATTGCAGCTAAGCCTATCTGTATATTTAGTCCGTTGTTGCCTCGGGATAAACTTTCCTAGAACTAATGTAATCCTCTAACACCCTACCCCTAGCTATGGACTGAAGGATGTATGTAGACAGAGTATTCTGCCTAGAATCAATTTAAAGTATATTCATAATAAATTAGAATTGCCATAATTCTGTATTTTTTGGTCATTATTACAGATTTGTTCCCTAATCTGGCTACCTAAAACAAAGGAGATTGCAACTGGCCAGGGTACTCCTAAGAATGACGTGACTGTGTGGGCCTGTTCTGCTCTGGCCAGGTCAGGTGGATTTTTTGGTAAGTAAATGGGTGAGTAAAATACCCTGTACCTATAGCCAAGTGAGCTGTCCATTGGTGGGAAAAGCCCAGAATGAAAGATTTTTCTCCTGGTTCTTTGAAGTATGTATTTCATCAGAGAAAAGAGGCCTACACCCACCATACCTCAGGGAGTATGTAGATGAGTGTTTTTAAATTTGACTAAGATAGTTCATCACCTGTAATTGTCCTGTCTCCTCCTCCTGGCCTATGTGTATGGATGATGTGGTGATGATCATGAACTGTGTTTTTGAACTCTGGAGTTAGCATCATAACTTATTTTGAAGAACCAGCAGTGCTGGAATGTGTGGGAGATAAATATGAAAGGCTGAGATGTTTGTTCTACATGGGGAGGCCACTGAACAGCATGGGAGTCTGGTGAGCCTCTGCCCTTTCAAAGTGAACTGCTATTATTTCGCAATGCAGTTCTACAAACTTTTATTGGGTACTTTTTGAGAGCAAGACCCTATAATGGGGAATGAGACTCAAGCCTTGTCTGCAAGGGTCTCAAATCATTTTGGATATAATTTAGAATGTTAAAGGGGGTGGGGCAGCTAAGGGGTGAGTAGGTATCTCCTTCTACCCAGCCCTGGGAAAAAGGAAGACAGAAGTGCTGGTTGATGAAGGAACAGAGCACAGGCATCCAGTCTCTTGTACAACTCAGATTATATATGCTATCTTCTTCTTTCCACTCAACCTTGTCTCCTGATCAATCACTGGAATTTATTTATTAAGCATCTATTATGTGCCAGGCACTTATTGGAGTGCCAGGAATACACAGATAAATAAGACAGACAATATCCTGGCCCTCACGGAGCCTCTACTTTTGTGGGAGGAGACAGACAGAAACCAAATATATTCAATAGGTAGAGATAACACCACATTTCTCATTGGGGATTCTGAGAATATTTATCAACAATACAACACCCTCAACAGAAAGGCTTCCTGCTTCTGCTGGTCAGCCTGGCTGGACCTCTGGTTAGCCTTGGAATGACCTTTCTATACTTCGGCTGTTATGCTGTGTGATTTGGTAAATAAAAAATACAGGCGGCTCTTGATAGAGCCACTTCAGCCGCCAAGCCTAAGTTAGGAAGAGC